CAACCTAAAGGATCCTATGATTCTATATATACCCTAGCACAATGCGTGGTGAATATACACCTTCGTTTAATAAACTGGCTATTTTTACTACATCTTGCTAGGACATTGTTCACTTAACTAAGTATTTATCCAAGTGTACAGAAATGTATTTCCAATTATTAACTTCTATTTTCACTTTTGGTACAGTAGGTAGGCTATAGCTTGCAATAAAAAGTATTTTTTATTTTGATCTGAAGGCCAAGATGTTTGTGGTCAAACCAACATCCTTGTCCTGATATACTTTTCCCTGAAACACAGTGTACTGCCATTGCAGAACAACATTCCCAAAGCTGGAGTGAGGATGAGGCCAGAAGAGTGAGAACTAGATGAAGATTTAGTACTTGGCTTAAAATGTGCTAGGCCATACCCGGGAGCTGGACAAACAACCTAGGGCATTGCTGCAGAACTAAGAGTTTCTGAATTCTAGGCAAACAGAGTTTTTTAGAAACTAGTGAATTCAATGAAAACCACCAAAATTATATCTTCTGATATATCAGAAAAATGGATTTTGCAAATATGAGATGTTAGCTATTCAGAAGCAATGGGATGAGAACTGTGTGTCTGCAGATCCTTATAGAGACAGAAGAGCACATATACTCTGCTCTTAGTGGCAAAGCAATGCCAGCAGCTCTTCAAAGTGCTGCTTTTTTCTGATAAGAGATGTCAGTTGGCTTTAGGAATCTGGGACACGGTGCAAGCCTTGCACAGATGCAAACATCTGTTTGGAAGACAATGGCACAAGAATAATTTTCATCTCTATTGCCTGAAAACTACTCCTCACATGGATTTATTTAGCTAAGAGGGATAGATCTTTCTCCAATGCTGTGTGAAAGTCAAAGGGGGAATTCCCAATACCACATTCAGCTTCAAAATTTTAAGTATAATGAGGTCTTCACTCCAAGGAGCTGTACATCCCTTCCAAATTAGAGACACCAACGTCCTGTCACTGACAGTCACAACTTCTGGGAACAGATGTAGCAATAGGTGTATGAATGAATTTCTGTGTGACTTATGGGGTTTACTGCCACAAGAACAGAATCTGATCGAAGAGCTCACACAAAAGACATTTATGATAGTGGTAGAATTAAGGCAGTTGGAGATACTTTTGTGATTTTCTGGCTTGCAAATAAGTTTTATTTCAAATTGATGTGTTGATTATGAGCACTGATTGTAAGGATGGATAGAACTGGATGATTCTTACTTCTTGGACTATTAAAAACATCCAGTCTGGGTAGAAATTTTCCTTTCTCACAGATGACATAGCAACTTTCATTTAACAAAGCTTCTGGAGTTTCTCTTTTTCCGTGAAGTATGAACAATGGGCATGGTCCAGACCATAGGCACTACTTTGCTTTTTCTGTGATGCTTCTATAAGTCCTCACTGTGCAAACAGACCAAGCCTGGAGAATGCAGTACAGTGTCAGTCTTTTGCACTGCCAGGAACTTTAAGTTTCGTGTGACCACTTCATATTCCAGTTTCTCCTTTAAAACCAGCATAAGCAGCAATAAATAGTATGCTTTAAGGTCAGAGAAAATTTCATGATTTGGTCTTCTCAGTTAATGAAACAGGAAACAAATCATTCATTTGTTCTACCGTAATGGTAACTGGAAGCAGCAGCAAGAGGAATTACAGACTGCTAGCACACTGAATTGCTTCTCTTTATTAAGCTAAAAGCAGTCTCATCTCATGAAGGGTGAAGCATAAAAGTCCCCATGGACATAGCTGGTCCATTCAGTTGGCTTAGCCAAGGCCAGTTTCTGTCACAGGAGGCACACAACTAAAAAAATACAGCGTTTCTAACTAGTGCTGAAACTTCTAAAGAGTCAGTTGTGTGTACGCTGCCATCCTAAACAGCCAGATCTCCACTAGTCACAGTCTTTAGCAGAGTGAGGCACATTTAGGTGTTGTCACCAGTTTGCTGGCTGAAAGGGACGATAAAACCAAGCTTGACCATAGCCTCACATTAAAAAATTCTCAGTGCAGAAAAGCAGAAGTTAGCTGTTGCCTGGGAGCTCTTGAGAAAAAAAAAAAAAAAAAATTCAGCTCCAACTGCTTGCAAGTTGTCAACACTGGTAGTTCATTAGAGCTAGCAAGGCTAGGAGAATAAACCTGGGCATGCTATTCCTCTTCATTGCTGCAAGAATACACTGCTGTCACCAGTGACTTACTTGCTACACATCTGACACTGATATCAGTTTTACTAGGGTTAAAAAAATTAGAAAGATTCCAGATGTTGCCAAAACCGCTGATGTCAGATGCTGCCAAATCTTGATTGTGCATTTTTTCCACAAAAAAAATTCTGTGAAAAATATTTATTCTGTGGGTTGTTCACAACTGTAGGAATGTCTTTGCCCTTTGTGATCCACTAAGTATACCAGTTAGTATCCTGAAGCACATAGTTATGTTTTTTGTTCCTTCATGGAGTAACTTAACCTTTTCAAGAAGAAAGGGGTATCTCTTCTGTGTTTGCAATTTTCCTTTCTAATTACTGAATATGTGTCCTATAAGACCAAAAAAAAAAAAAAATCAAAATAAAGGAGCTTATTAGTTTTGTATTGGCACATCCAGTGTCTACAATATCAGCACTATTAATTCTGAGTTTTGCTTATAACACTTCACTTCTGCAATCACACTTGAAAACAGATGCTCATATTCCAAAATGCTCCTATTAAGTAAAAAGAGAGCCACAAATATCAACAAAGCAAATCAGGGAGTTTGATTTCCAAAAGTGGTCATGGATACTTTACATTTGTATTCACCAGTAATCGTTAGCAAGAATTTTCAGACAGTGAACCTCAAAGTACAGCAAACAAAGAATAATTATATGAGATTATAATGATGCGTAAATAGTCACAAGGAAAAAAAATAGTGGTGAAGAGAGAGGAAAATACTGACCTGAACTTGGATTTTGAGATGGTTTGACTAGAAGAAAAGGAAAACACATTTTTAAGAATTTGGAATAAATAACACAAATACTTCCTCTTTAGAACTTGCAAATCTATACATTGAAATTACATACATATAAAAGCAAGCTTTTAACAAAATTCATTATAAATTATTAAATGCTATTATCTGTTATTTTCTGAAATATCATCCTAAAGCTTTTCAAATGTTCTAAGTGAAATCTCCTTTATAAGTAAGTAAATAAAATTTAGCTGCTTGAAAATCATCAAAATTGGCACAAATAAACAGTGAACATCATAGGATATAGAAATACTCCCATACACTCAGTTATCACCTAAAAAATACATATTCTCCAGATCATGAATAATTTAACAGAAAACTTTACTTTTTACTTAAAATATTTCATTTAGGGACTTAAAATATTTTATTCATAGTGACTTATTTTCTTGTAATTTTGGACAATAATTAGATTTGATAAAAGTTTTCAGGAAAACATGACTCCACTGGAAGTTTAGTTGAATTGTTTTACATCTTCTCATCGTGAAACTTTAAGGAGTGCTTTAATGCTGAATAACTGATCTAATATTAAGCTACTGAAAGGCAGAAAAACCCAAGTGTCATACAAACCTTGACTATATGAAAGCAGTTTTGGCTAAATAAACAACAGGGGAAGAATGATTCTTTTAAATTTTGATATGATGAGGGTGGGTACTTGAAAACAGTCTGTGTACTCACCACAAACTCCCACAGCATGCTGGGCTCTCACCTTCTCCACTCACATTCTCGGTGTTCACTGATTCAGTTTCACTGGTGGGCATGCTTGCTGTTAGGAGACAGAAATGGCTTTAGGTTGATAGCCAAGCAAGGCATTACACAGAATGTGATCTCCTGTTCTATTGCAAGAATGCCTCCACTTCCTGCAGGTCTGAGGAAAGATTGGAACATCAGAGGAATGAAGGTAAGACACTTCATCAGTCCTCCTCTTATAATGAAAGAAAGCACACAGAATTCCAGAGTGTACTGTAGCTTTGTTTCTTCTCAATGATTCAATTTAACTGTTGAAAAATGCACTACAGAATACAATGTAAAGGAATAACAAAGAGTATGCTACCCCTTGTAAAGAAACCCGAGCTAGATTTTGTGACTTTCCATTGAAGAAATGTCCTGTTAACACTTTGAAGGTGCTTAACACCTTAAGTGTTAACACGCTAACCAATTCCACAGAACGTTATCAAAGTTCTGCTGAAAATAGGAACTATCACAGTCTAATCATACTGACGACTCTGTGCTTTTACTTCCATTATGAATTATCAAGGCAAGATTCTAGAAAAGAATACTGCCTGCAAATACTGTATGAGAAGACAGGAAGGAGCACTGGAATTGCAGAATGGATACTGCAAAGGATTATGAACATTACAGAAAAGGGGATTATTATTTTTGTCACACAGTGAATTACTGTACATATAGTGAGTGGATCATTACTGGATAGTCAGTAAATGTAGCTTATGGAGGTTTTTTTAGACAAAACTAATTTGCAGATTGGTCATCACCATTTATCTTCAACTCAAATACAGAGGGAAGACAACATAGGTCAAAAGGTGTGAGGAAATGAACAGCCAAAGTTCTTGGTACTTCCTAGGGGACAGCAACTACTTCCATGTCTGCAAAGCAAACATTAAAGGAAAACCTCAAGAATAAGCAAGTGTAAAGTTCATTGTGCTGGTTTATACAGTAGAAATACCATATAAAGTAGGAAAAAATAAGAGGTGGAAGATGCACTTAAGTTACTGTAGAACAGCAAGAACAAAATAAAACCAGAATATCTTAAAGGCATTCTGCTGTGTACCTTCTGGCTTGATGGTTTGCTTGTTTATGTTTTTTTGTTTCTTTTTTTGGGGGGGAGAAGGGGTTTAAACCAACATCTGTGGACTGACAGTACTGAAGACAGAAGGGCTACAATGGCTGTTTCTCTTAGGGATGTCTCACTATTCTAAGGTCTAAACAGACTGGGACTCACCTCCAGGGAGAGTCAGGAGGTCTGCCCTGAACCAGGAAGCTCTGGGGAGTGCACTCCACAGACAGACACTCCTGACTCCCTGCCAGTGGTCCCAGCTTTTATCCCCAAGCAGACACCTGACCTTTGTCTACTCAATGTGGACCCCTGGGGCTCATTTCCCTTCTGGCTCTCCCTGCAGGGCCGGCCGCACCCTGGGGGGAAGCTATAAGGCAAACTCACCACCTCTTTATGAAGGGCTGTGGGAATCACCCATATGTCAACCTTAATTCGGGGCTCGGGGTTCAAACCCCAGCATTTCACAAGGTACCGAAGGAAAAAAAACAGTCATCTTTCACCCTACTGAAGCCAATGTCAGTTCTGCTAATTATTAAATAAAGCCAAAATGTTACTATTTCAGACAGGGCTATTGCTCTAGCTCTATGACTTGTAGGTGTTTTGTTACAAAAAGGAAAGGAAAAAAAGAACCAGACCATTCATTTTAAGTTAGAAACTCAGCTATCATTATACTGTAATTTATATGCCAAAAAAATCCAAACCTGACAGAAGTACTGAGAAAGGCACCATGTGGAAGTCCAGCTCCAGCAGTGTTAGAAATTAATTAAATCTTTAGCCAGGAGAAAACTGCAACAGCACTACATGATTGCTTATAAATCATGATAGTCCCGATGTATAAGCATGGGTATTTCTGTGAATAAGAAAATGGAGTGTTTTGCTCATGTTATAACATTCACTATTTAAATAGTTTTCAGAATTTTGAGTAGGAATTTCAAATTATGCTCCAGGCCACAACATAACTAATGCATACCTAAGAGCATGTCAGTGTCCACCAGCACTGATATGTCCTAGCTAGCTGCAGCTGGAAGAAATAAACTCCATAATCCTGCAACATGACAACGGAGTATCACTGCAGAATCCAGAGGTAGGCTAAATTACATGCTGAATTATTGAATTGTGGTGGCAAGCATTACTGTTGGAAACATTTTCCTCTAGAAAATATATAATTTGTATTTTCATCTGTTTCAACTTCAGCTATGCGTTTTTGGTCCATAGGCTGATCTCTTCTCCACGCTGATGTACCTTGGGTAGCTTTCTGGTTACATGTGTTGAAGGAAAAGAGCTGCAGAGGTGGAGTGGTCTGCACAGCAAGTCAGATAATCAGTTATAGCTACTGGGAAGAATCTTACGATTTTTAAAAAGGTACTGTACTGGCAAAATTTTAGATCAGTCTTGCAAAATAGACATCTTCTGCCTGCTAGTAACATCCACCCAATTCCATGAGCTCCAAAAATTCTCCTAGTTCTTTCTCGAATCACTGCATGGCTCTACATACACGAACATCTGTACAAGTCTTCTGTATGCCCAGAAAACACATCAAAAAGAGATGGTCCTATCTATTCTGACTGTGAAACTCCTCAGGGTAAATTCAGTTTATGGAGGGGCTGCCTGGAATATGTTCTACATGATACTGTAGTGGAAGTATTTGTTTTCACAGTGCAGACTTAATGTTGATACTATCAGCAATCACTCTTATAGGCTCCCTCTTTTTATAGGCACCCCTTGGAAACTCAATATAAGGTTGAATAGTTGCATAGCAGTGGAAGAAGAGCGAAACAATCAGTCTTCATTACAGAAGCATCACTGAACCAATGATTTTTATCTTCAAGGATGATACTATGAATCCCGGGAATGCTGTATATGCTACAGATGTGGTGCTTTTAATAGTAACAGAGATAATACAGAGAAAAATATTTAGGCTGGGATTTCCAAGCTAGTAGTAGTTTAAGTCTGAGCTACCCAGATCAGCATAATAGTTTCACAAACACAGAAAGAAAGAGACTTGGGCCACCAATTCGTAATTCAGTAAAATCCTACTTGTAAAAGGTGTACCTGCCCTGCAAGACACGGATGAAGCTAGGTGCACACACGCTTGAGAATTATTTTGACTAGCAAGGTCAAGTACTAGTAGTGAGACAGCATTTGTGGACAGTGGATGACTACAAGTTTTTGGCCAGTTCCGTGCTACTTCATGACTGATGTCAGATCCTGAACCTGCTGGTTTGAAGGCTGGGTGGAAACACATATCCAAAGTAAAATTGCAACCACTGTCTTTCAGCAGTCTTTATGGAAAAAATTATTCCAGCTTGTAAAGCTGTATGAGCTGTTCAACAATATGTGTAACAGTTACACAATCAAAAGCAGACTCAGTATTTGTAGAAAATGAGTCCATTGGGTCCTACCCATTTCTCATTTAATATCCTGCATTCTCTAAACTGAATCAGAGTGATTCTTCGGACAGCAAGGAAGTCAGTCAGTCAAATAACTGTTGTATGTAGGATTAAAATTAGATCTCCTCATTGCTACAATTGTGATTATGTCAAATCTATATGTTTGCAAGTATTTTTAGTAATATTTTTGAAAATAACTATCCTACTCACAAAACCCCTGTCTATTTCCATTGTAGGTGAGAAAGAAATTGTATAAAACAAAAATTACAAAACCATCAGTAACAAGGGGAGCTACAGTAAACGTCCATTACATGTTGTTAAATTCTATATTAAAATTATTATAAATAAAGAGTAAATCTAAGCTCACACTATGATCCATTGTAAAGCTTGTAAAATACTTTGATTAATTTCTTCACAACAGAATTTAAAATAAATTTCTCATCTCATTTACTTGACTTTTGAAAAAGAAAACCTATGCTTCAACAAGACCAGCCATGGACAAAGACACTTCAGTGGAAGTAGAGACGAATTAAAGCCTAATTTAATCCTTGAGGAAGACAGAGCACTGCAGTACCAGTCGATTTCAAACATGCACCAAAACCAACAGACCTGCATGCACAAGTATCTCCATGCTGAAGAAGTATATGCCTCTGTTATAAAAAACACACACAACATCTGCCTTCAGAAGCTAACACACCAAATGCACTATTGGCGCAGAAGAAAATTTAACTCCAAAACAGAACACGTTTTACCATTTTTTTTGGAAGAATGGCCAAAGCAACTAAGTCTGCTTTTCTTCTTTTCTTCCATTAAGTCAGCCACTGTAAGCCCTTGGCGTAAGGTACATTAAGTAATCCCAGCATTTACACAGTAGATGGCAGCAGTTGCAATGCAAAAAATAAAAAGTGTCCATATATGCAACACAAGCAACATTAGGCAAAACAAATTGAAATTCCCGGCAGCATAACTAATCAGAGCTAAATCCTTTGCCTCTCACTGGTTTGGGATGGGGGGTGGGGGATGCTGGTTTTTTTTTTGTGTTTGTTTGGTTTGGTTTGGGTTTGGGGTTTTTTGTATTTTGAGCTAAATTTTCAATGCTTTTAAGTCAAGGGAAGCTTTTTCATTGACTTCAGGGTAACTGATTATCAGTACATAATGGAGACTTACAACTTTTCATAAAGGCACTTAGTAAATTTACAGTTCTTGTACTTAAAAGGTATTCCATTATTCAACAGCGCTGAATACCTGCACACTATCAGCAACAGAGATGTACAACTACAGGGGGTTCATATATAAATTACTTGACTTAATGACTTCTCTGGTTAGAAATTTTAAAATGTTGGGGTTGCAGGAACCTAAACTACATTTTTAAGGATTATGTAAGAAGCTATTAATCACTGATTTAACTGCCTTTGAAATCTGCACCTCTTCCTGCCAGAGAGAGAACAGATTTTCTGTATCCTAAACCCAGAGCCCTTCCACATCACTGAAGAGCATTACAGTGATCTTCCACCCCCATAAATCAGCAGTAATCTTGATCATCCAGAGGTTTAAGCATTCAAAGTAGTGACATAGCTGCCTAGAAGCCTGCAAATGATTATCTGTGTATCTTGGGTTCCAGCCCCACCTTATGCTTCAAAGACAGTTCTAGAACCACATCACCATTTTATTTGGACTAAATGTATTTCCTAAGATTACTAGTCAAGAATATTAACCTGGTGATAACCAGCTAGTTTGCATCTGACTCCCAAATAAGTACCTCATTATAATAACCTTGCTCCTAACCCAACAGCTTCCCCTGAAATATCTAGATACATGGCTTGTACTGTCTCTTGGCCTATCTCCCCATGCAATGTGATATGCAGCAGAGCATGTCTTCAATGCAGGGAGGTGGAACAGTGCAGCAACTTTCTCCTTTACACCCTGTTGCAGCTGATATTAAAAAGTAAAGTTAAAGCCAAGAGTTTAAGCACATGTGCACAATCCTAGGAGTGCTAAGAGATTGTCTATTCACTAGATATATTTTCATTCAAAATACATATTCACTCCTGAAATGAAATTATTTGGATTTGGTTTAAGGTCTCCTCCAACTCTTAACTTAGCCCAAAGTTACATCTCTGTTAACATTTTAGAGCCAAAAGCTCTCTCAACCTCAACTATGCAAACAAGTCTTTCTGATTTAGGAAAGACCTATATTACTTAGAAGCTGTTTAAGGAGTGCTAGAGCAAATGGTTCTTTCGCAGCATATTAACAAACATCCAAGTGGAACAGGGTTGAACAGGTGCAAAAAGCTCCTGGGATTTCACCTGCAGACTTGCAAACCAAGTCCACCAGCACCATAGCTGACAGCAGGGCTGTCCAACACTGTAAATTTGACGTCACTTAAAATTCAGCATGAGAGTCTCGTACAAAGCGTGGTTACTACACAAAATGTGCAGCCTGTCGCTTCTCAGACTTAGGATTTCATACTGATACTCAAACCCACAGTTCATGTATCCCTTCTACAGAACATTAGTAGCAATAATGATGTGTAGTGGACTCTTTGGCTTTTTTTACTCTGCTCTAGATAAAAAAAATCTGTTTTTCCTGCAGATCTTCATACAGACATAAATGATTCCTTTTTGGGTGATACTGGCATCAACATCAACCCACAAGTTGCCTTCCCACCTCTCATAAAATCGTTTCCTTCCAATCAGTAACACAGATCTGTGGCCTGCTTTTATTGCAAACTAAAGAACTAGTAAAATTCTGAAACTCAAAAATATAAAGAATTTTTAGAACTTAACTAAATGCAATAGAGAGATAAGATACAAGACCAGATATCTCAATATCAAACCATATAATTTTCACTATTTTACTACTTTTGAAATGTACTATGATTTAAAAGAACCCTTCACAATAAATTAGCAGCACTAGAAGAATAGTAATAATATATTATTTCAACACAGAAATCTGAGTTGCCCTTAACAAACCACTCACAGATGCATTTTATTATATATATACTGAATGGTAGCTGAATTAATAAATACTATAACTTTACAGATAATCACATTAATAATAAGGTACTATTTAGCCTTAGTAGATATTGAAATTTGGATTTAAATATCACATTTAGCATTAAGTGAGAATACAGAGTCAAGATTTATGTACAGCACTAAAAGGTCTCTATGTAAACATGGCTAAGAGGCTAAGATAACCTCTACTCTATTATCACATTAAAATACTGCTGTTACTCAATTTCTGATAGAGAAACTGATTATAATTTTTACAGTTGCTGCAATACCACGCAACTAGTTTGTTTGTTAGACTCAGGTCAGAAGTACTAGAGGGCCACTAGAGCATAAATTACCTTTCCCATTATACACTATACATTACTGTTGAACAAACACAAGGAATAATTATATTTCTTACTGTTGAACAAAAATCCCACAAGATTTCATTTATTTACACTCAGCTAATACATCCAGTAAAAAAGACTTTAGTTTTCTTGAATATCAGAAAGATCCCCTACTTCAAAACTTAAAAAAAAAAAAAAGAAAAAAAATTGTATCAGCACGAGGTTATTTTTTTACTGTAATTTTGGCCATATTTTTAAAGCTTCTTATATTATTATTACTTCTAGCCATGCACATACAGGCAAATACGTATTCTTCTTGACTAAGGATTTATTGTGATGCTTAGTGGCATGTAGCTTGTATGCACTACCTTTTTTAGAGAACACAAATAAAGCAAAGTTTTTAAATCTCAGTAGTGATCGAGTGCAGACAAATTGTACCTGGACAACTAGAGCAGAACTTTATTGTAAAATCTGGATTTATCTTCCATGACTAAGAATGGATATATTAATGGACATGATTGCTCAGCTACCAAACACTTTTGCAAACTGGAAATCAGACAGTAACATCAGACAGGCTTCACCCACCCCAGTGTAATTCCCTTAAAAGCAGTCAAACCATCCCATGCACAAGTAGTTCAGAGTAAAGGACACGTACTGTTCCGCTTGCCTTCTTCATCAACCTCTTCATCGTTCTCAGGGTCAATGTCTTCTGCCTGTGTAATCCAGTCTAAATATCCCTTCAGATCTTCTTCAAGCTGCTGTTTTTCACGTAGCTTCTGAAAGTCCCCTCGGGCCTTGGCTTTTTCTCTTTCCTTGGAAAACTCTCTATCAAATTCAGGCAAACAGAAAAAAAAATATTGGTCATCAAACTCCCAGACATTTTAACCTAGGTCTTGACATTGCAGAACGTACCGACATAGAAAATGAACTGAATAAACTACACCTAAGATTTGATCGCTTCTTTGAAAACAAGACTGTGGTGCAAAGAAGTCACGGCAAATCCCTATCATGTTACATCAGAACTTTCAGAGCTTTTACGATTTGACTGACAACTAAGCAGCTGCATATAGGAAAAGCTCCCAACCCTCCCACTCCCCTTTAGTTATCTGCTCCTCTATACAGATTTTTTAAAAGTTTTATTTAATGGCTACAAAGAGAAATTGGCTTGCGGTAATGAAGTAGTTTCAGAGAGTTGAGTATTAGTTTCAGTGGAAAGGAAACTCTGGCAGCCAGTTCTAAAATCCTTCCTCTTCCAGGCACAGTTTATTTGCCTTGTCCAAACATACTTATTTCAGTGTATGGTTCACAGAATTCCACTAATAAGCTCTCGTTTAACTACGTCAAGCATAGACATTTGTGCTGTATGATATCTGGCTGTTTTGCCCTTTTGCTCTATGTAACAGAACCTACACAGATCAGAAATATATCCTTTTACATAAACTGTCTCATTACTCAAATCTCAAGACAATCTATCTAACTGTCTGTCTAGTTTATTTCATGCTTTGGGTCAATGCCTCAATTATCATGGAATGATAATTAAAATAATTAAGTCATGCTCTTTGAGAAGGAGGCTGGCTAAAATGGCCTGCTGAGGTCTCTTCCACCCTGGATTATCCCATGAATCTACTACACCCTTAATTATAGATGACTCAAGACTATTATGAAGTAACTCTTGCACTACGACATTTCACGTACCAATGTTATTACATCATTTGGTGTGATACACAACTCCAAACTTATAATTCCCTTCACTAGAAGGATCAAATGCTTTCCAATTTATCTGAGTATCAATATGTATGATTATGAGTAGGTAAGCATCTTTTGAGCTGTTCTGTAACTATGTACCAATTCAGTATTTTAAAATATTATCATATTCTGCCTTATTCTGACTAAAATGTTAATCTTACAATAGGTCTTGAAACCTATGTTTTTTATTATTTGCAGTGTTCAAACATGTTCTAAACACTAAACTTCTACTTTGACATCAGTAAATTTAAGATTTAAGTTCTTTAAAAAAAAAAAATCTCTGTATGGTTGCACGTAATGTTATGTTGCAGAAGCCAAAAAGCTTTCCTTTGTAAAAACTAAGAGGCAGGCATGACACTGTTTACAGAGGATTTAATTCCACAAAAATTCAGTTTGGCATGTGGAGATCATCCTGTTCCATTTGATGGCACTGTAATGAAACTGAAGAATGTCAGTGCTTGCTTTGCTTTGTGTTTGCTACCCTTCACTTAGCACCCAAGGACGAGGTCCATCTAAAGGCCATCTCTTCACAACAGTGCTTGTGAAAGAGAGAGATAACTTCTTTAAAAAAAAAAAAAAAAAATCATTGCTTTGGCAGAAGATATCACAAGCTTATAAAAAAATGTTTAGTTTATGGAATGCTGAGTTTAAGCTTCTCTCAGAGAGAATATGAGAGACCATCCTTTACATCTGATTGAGGCAACACACTCATGACACTGATTCCATACGCAGTATCTTTGAAAAAAAAAAGAGCTATTCTATCTAGCATGGAATCAGAAGTAACAAGCCTTGCTAGCTTTTACTGTGTGTTCGTGGTTTGTTCAGTTAAGTCCTTTGGGTGTTTTTCATTAGGGCGAAGGTTATGTGTGGGTAAAGTAATATGAAAGCTTCTGTTATTATACAGAGTGAAGTGAAAGAAATAATTAAAACCCAAACCAGCTGGCAAGGCTGATACATTTGACAGCACTTCACCAGTGACTAAACCACGTTTTAACTTTGACTTCTAATTAAAATGGCTGCACACAGAATTAAACAGTTTTTCATATACACAGCTAACTGACCTTTCTCTTTAACACAGCACAGAATTTGGACATTTTCTTCTTAAATACTTCTCCAATTTGTCAACAGGGGGAGATGCAACGGTGCTTAATTTCCATGATATTAAAAAAAAAAAATTATTTTTAACACCTGACTGTAAGGAAGTATAACATCTGAGAGAACTGCATTTTCTTTAGGGGAGGGAGGAATGGTATTTTTTGCTATCACAGTCACAATGAAGTGACATGCCTCAGACACACACATGTACAGATTCTTTTTAATGAAACAACATGAATAAGAAATTTGGATTAAACAGAAAGGGAAAGTTACCAGAGAAAGAACCAACCAACCAACCAACAAAAAACTTTCTTCCCCACACAAGAAACAAGAAGTTATTTGAAAAAGATGATGGAGGTACGATGAGGGAGAGATGTTGGCTCTTTAAATCTTTGGACAAAGATATTTAGACAACAAGATATTTGAATATTTAGACAAAGATACATAGACAGTGGTTGATCTCCTGGAAGGAGGAATAAGACAGCTGCTTGTGTAGCATTCATGGCTGCAGAGAGCCTACACTGTGTCCAGGGCAGAAAGGAAAAGCTTTTGGCTGTGTGTGCAGCATAGGTACTGCTGTGGTTAGACTAACAGCCTGAACTGGTCTCCCTGGCTGTCAGCAACCCGGTACTCACTCCAGAAGCCTGGGGCTTGGGAAGTGGCACATTAACTGTGGTAAGTGGACTTCAGCTCTGTAAACATTTGGTCTCACAAACGCCTGGTGCTAAGAGGTCACTTAAAAATACATATTTCATTCTAGTTTGATAAAATCACCTGGATTCGTCATTCACAAGTAGATGTTTGTGAGTGGGTTCCGGTCATTAACTGAACTGACAAACATTGTATTCAAAGAGCTGTTGTGACTATACTAGCATTCATATGTGTCTTTCCACTAATATGTCATTTAAATTAGCCTCCACCCAAGCTGCAAACTCAAAATTCCTGAGGTGCTCTGATTTGACACCAGCATACGCAAAATTAAATTCAGGCCTACTGCCTGCAAAATTTCAGTTTAAAAATAAAACAAATTTAAGTCATTTTCATAAAGCACGGGACTCAATGAATGTGGTTTTGTCCTAATTTCAAGTAGACTAGCCAAGCTTACTCCCATCTCTTTTTAAGATGTGCTTCAAAATTAAGACTATGCTAGCAATGCTAGAAAAAGCATTTGGTTTTTTTCAAATCTCTACTTCAGAATCTTATAAAGTAGATGTGTCTAACTTGTATAACAACACATTGTATACTAACTGTTTGCCTTGAAAAATTACTTTTCTGCAAGAGTCTATTGCTACCTAGATGGAGGCAGTTCAGTTTATTTCACTGCAAATGCAAATAAATCAGACAACCCAGCCCTAGCCAGCTTAATTTTGGTATAGTTAAATATGACTAAAAATTGCAGCCTATGACAATATCCTATAAACCGAATAAAGCTTCAAATTGCAGCCATAATGTAAATAACTCAGTCAATTGCTCCTGTAGCATAAAGGAGACATTACCAAATAAAGCATTATACGGACACTCAACTACATGATCTCATTGATTCTGAGTATTAACTAAGCTACTAGATAAAATGCAAGTTTGTTTCTATTGCCCGAAAATTCCTTCCCTCCTTGCAGAAAGATCTCAGTTCTCTGTTTAGGCACAACACCATCATCATCAATGTTTATTGAGGCAGAAGCATATGAAATGCAGGTTTTGAATTCATGCTTCAGTAGTCTGGGGCAATCATTTTCATGCCAGATTTTTCTTTCTTCAACAGAGTGAAATAACTCCTGCTGGTACGCATCAGTGGGGAATGGCTTGGTGCAGCAGGGTGGATGTGGCAGCAGGGAGTAACCTACTGAGAGACTCAATTACAGCTCTCCAGTTGTCACACGTTAATTTGAGGAAGGGTCATTTTAACCCAAAATCCTAAAACAACAATTTGTTTAAACGTATCTGGTACACTCTCCCTTCTCTTTGTAATTCACAGACATAAGAGCTAAGGAGACACCTATGCTGGCCTCATGTGAGCTGAAAGTTTTTCCATGCTGAAGGCAGACACTTCACAAAGGAGCTTGTGCAGCAACATGAGTGTTGCTGTAACTCCTGTGCAACGCTAGGGATTGATGGTACAAAATAAACAGTTGCCTTTAGTGTCTAAGCATAAACCAGGGCACTAATTCTTCACTAGCCATATTACTGCCCTTCTGAGTCACTGTAAATGCAGTGGGAGAGAGAATTCATGTAATGCAGTATGCAATTTACTGCACACAGGATCTGGTTTGTAGAAAGTGTTATGCTAATGTTATATGTGGAGCTGTCACCTAGACATCCTAGACTTGTTCTCAGAGAACAGTCACATAATAACAAAAATGTACTCACAGGAGCACAGTATTGGCCACCAGACTCACAGAAGGTTTCACACAGTGGTAACCATACCAACCAACAAATTAGAAGAATCAAATCAGAGAACTCAAATCATTTCGACTTTACAGATAAGCATGGACAGCAGCTCACAGCTGGGTGGAATGTGTAACAGATGTAGAGAGACAAAAAAAAGGTTAAGTAACATCACATCTTTAATTACTGGAGATTTGTACATGTTGTTTTTTTCCTTTCAAAAATAATAGAAACCCACAGGCTGAACACTGTAAAATTATTTCTACAGCAGAAAAATATTCTAGCAGGAATTTCGCTTGAGCAAGGAGCACTGGGTTCCTGATGGGGAAATGCAAACTGCTGTTATCTACCCATAGTTATTTCGGTATCTTTCTGTAGCAACTGACAGAACGTATATCCAATGGCTCCAGCATAACCTGTGCAGCAGAGGGCCTGTATATAGTGCACACGAATGGAAGGGAATGGGATCATCTGAGGGAACAGCAAGATAGGGAACCATTTGATACAGCTACAAAACTGAGATCTGATGTTTCAGACTTTTTACATCTGCATATTAGCAGGCGTTCATTCTGTCCAAGGTAGATACCCATTTGGATCAGGAC